CTGCGAGATCTAAGCACTGCCGCCACTTAGAAGCCACTGCCTACCATTATAATCACAACAGGAGGTGTGACCGGAAGTTAGAATAAATTGTTTAAAATGGCGTCCAAAGTGAGAAGAAGAGAAAGCAAGGAATTAGATTGAATAGCCAGGGCAGGAAGTGTTTGATTTAGCTACTCCTGATAAATAGAAGAACTTGGTAAAACATGTTCAAGATAATTTTGAGGATCACTACTGGGAACTGGACGGAATTCGGGAATTTGTCATCCATGATTCTATGTTGTTTAATAGAGGATATGCGTGCTAAGTATATTCATAGCTTTTTAGTACCGTATATCCAACCCACACAGTAAATTGGCCGCCATGTTGGACGTCAAGTTTATTAAGAGTTCAATGGGGGAAAACACATTTTCTTGCCTTGCTACCTTCTTGAGGCCTTTTTCGGAAGCTTAGAAAGCATCCTGAGGATCTAATGGGGTCTAGTAGTCACCTGAAAGATTGCTATCAAGAAATACAGAGCGGTTTCCTGGTACCAAGCCTTTTTCTATCATTTCTCCATTGGTGCCAATGGAAAGTTGACGTCCAACGAACTAATTTTTTTTCTTGAAAGTTATTACGGTATGCAATGAATATAATTATTTTGCAATGAATATACTTAGCACGCATATCCTCTATTGGTGATGAATCCGATGATTAATATGATAGTAGTGATGATGAAGTACTACCATCAGACCCTGACTCTGATGATGACTTGGCCGCTCTGGATGAGTCTGATTTTTATGTATAATAATAGTGTTTTAATCCAATGTTTTATAATGCATGCTAATTAATAATGAAATTCATAACTACTTCATACTCACTTAACATCTACTTAACACCTTGACCATGTTTGAAGCCAAGTCTGCATAAAGTAATGAGTTAGAAGTCAACGTGAACAGACTATAGTGTGGGTCTCGCTCATGCTCGCCCCAATTATTAAGGGGTGTGGTCATAGTTATGACGTAATAAAATAGGTGTGGTGGGGCGTGGTTACCCACTACTCGATCGATCGATATCGATACCAGGA